GAAGTCTACAACATCACAATTACTAAAGGTTCTACACGAATTCGGTGAGTCACTCGACAAGAGAATCCAAACTGATGTCCTTTATCTCGATTTCGCTAAAGCGTTTGATAGGGTCGATCATCAGCTGCTTCTCAAGAAACTTAGTAATTTTGGAATTTGCGGAAACTTGCTGAGCTGGTTTCATAACTATCTATCAGATCGCCATCAAAAAGTTACCATTTTAGGAAAAACATCCCGATCAATACCCGTTCTATCAGGTGTTCCTCAGGGTTCAATCCTTGGCCCTTTATTGTTTCTTGTATACGTGAATGATCTGCCCGAAAAGTCCACCACATCGTCTGTTGCTCTGTTCGCTGATGATACCAAGTGTTATCATGCCATAAGAACAACAGATGACGTAAAAGCTCTCCAATGTGATCTGGATGGAATCAGCCAATGGTGTCGGACGTGGCGCATGAACCTTAACGAAACTAAGTGTGCAGTTCTTAAGGTAACAAGGAATCTCAAACCCGTGCAGTCATCTTACCATCTCAACAACGATAACTCAGCCAACTCAACGGTCATCCGCAAAAGGCTTGTTCAAAAAGATCTTGGCGTTCTCATTACTGCAGATCTCAAATGGAACCAACAAGTCTCTGCTGTATGTGCGAAAGCAAACAGAATGCTTGGGTTCGTAAAAAGGTCCTCCATTAAGATGCATGATCCTCGTACACGTACCGCACTTTATAAAACGTTAGTACGAAGTCGTTTCGCGTACAGCTCCCAAGTCTGGTCCCCGCAGTCTGTGTCTTTAATCCTCGAAGTCGAGAAGATTCAAAGACGCGCAACGAGATTCATCCTATCGCTGCCGTTTAGATCTGAAACTAGTTACCAGGAGAGACTATTGAAAACTGGTTTACTTCCTCTGTCTTACTGGCACGAGTACCTGGACTTGGTGTATCTCTTTAAGGCAATTAAATTGAATAACTCTCAGATTAGCATAGTATCAAACGATCGTATCACCAGGCGCGCTACAACTAACAGTGTAACATTAAAACTTTCCAGAGTTAACACTTTAACTTTTCAGAACAGTTTTTATAATAGAGCTCCCAGAATATATAACTCCCTACCACCACATATTCGAGAAGCAAGCGTTACTGTCGGCCAATTCAAATCTTACCTGTTAACTTATTATGAAGCAATGACTAAAGATATATATAACATTAATGCTCCACAAACATTTAAAAGTATATGTGTCAAGTGTCACTCGTGTCGTCCGTTGTCCAGTCTTGTGGATAAAATGTGTTGTAAATAATGTAATGTTGGGGTTTTTTTGTTTGTTTTTTATATATACATATATACATATTATTAGGGACCCTGTAAATGGAGCATTAAGCTCTGTAGGGTTAACCTGTCATTTATTTATGACTAAGTTTGTAAAAAAAAAAAAAAAAAAAAAGATTTACCTCATCTAGTTATGGCAACCATGCATATCAAATTACTTAACAACATGAATATATAATATTCTACATCCTTCCTTTGATAAATAAATAGCTATGAATTCCTAATAACATTAGTACACCAAAATGTACTATTGTTTTTGTCTTATATTTATTTAAAATGTTCTAATTGTATTATATAAAGTTTAACTGTTCAACTTAATAATGATTAATGTCACCAAATGTTCATTAACGCAACTATTTAACTTAATGTCATCAACTGTTCACTTACGCACGATAGTCCTTATATTTGGGATTTGGTTTAGATATACACCCACTTCTAGTTACTACTACATTAGAATACTTCTCTGTCACTGCTTCTTCATTATTCGAGGATTCTTCTGTGGTAACAGGATTTTTGTCGAAACCAGGATCTGGACTTTCTTCAATAACCTCACAGTTTTGCTCTGGAACTTTCAAAAGCTGTCTTCTGTTTCTTTGGTATTCTTGGCCTTACGACCTTACCATGAATGATATTTAGCACTGCGAACTGTACTCTCTGCCAAACCATTGCTTTTGGATAGTACGGACTACTTGTCACATGATTAAATCCCCATTCACAAGAAAACGTTTGAAATTCTTTACTCAAGTATTGTGGCCCATTGTCAGAATATAACACATCTGGAATTCCAAATCTTGAAAACTTATTTTAACTTGTCAATTACTGTTCTTGAAGAAGTACTACTCAACTTAGTAATTTCAAACCATCCAGAAAATGAATCCGTGACAATAACATAATCAGTCCCATTCCAATGAAATAAATGTGTAGCAACCAGGGACCTAGTCTGTGAACCCAGACGTCATTTCCGACGCTCATTCTTCGCTTGGAAATAACGTCTGCGGAAACGAGCGGGAATTCGATTTCCGTGACGTATGTGTATTGTCTGTGTTAGCCAATTAAAACGTCTGTTACAGCGAGAGCACGCTTGGAAGTGCACGAACGCGTGTATAACGCGTGTAGGACCACACGAACGGAGCTGAGTTTTTATTATAAAAATATAAATTAAATTAATATACTTGTAATTTTATTCTGAAAATATGGACAAAACTTCAAAAAAGTATACCCAGAATACAAAGTTCTACTGTATCAATGATAATGTGTATTAATCAAAGAAGACACCTCTCAGTTGGAAAATATGATGTGTGTTTTGGAAAATATAATTGTTTTAGAAGTTATTTGAATATATTGAATATTTTCAACTTCAATACTGGGTGATGCCCGAAGGGGTTGTCTATATGTATGTCGACCATGAGAAAGTCGCATAGGATGTTATCAATAAAAATATGGTGAGAAAAATTACTATGATATATCATACTGGAGTTTCAAAGTGTTGTACTCGATCCAACAGCAAGACTATAAACTTCCACAGCTCGTTCGACAGATTGCGATTTGAACTAGTCTGTGAAGAATATAATTTTCTACGCAATTCATTTTCTACATTAGTGTGTTATTAAAATACTGTATGAATGAACGTGCAGACATGGACAAAGTCATGTAATCTTTGTATGTGTCAGTCCTATTCTGTTCCAATTACAGTTCATTAACAGTACGGCCGGCCAAAATAATGTATAGCCTATAGGACACTTTGTTTATGTCTATACCGCTCTGCAGCAAGATTATACGGCAACAATCAATAATTGCATGCATTCATTGCATTGGGAACAGCCTGGTCGTGAACTTGTTGTAAAAACCTGTCAGAGTAGCGAAACTATTCGCAAATATATAGTTCAAACGTTTTGATTGTTCAAATTCACTTTAGTTAATATATGTACCTACATTAGCATGCAGAGTGTTTTCTAACTAAGTAGTTTATGTTTGTGTACAGAGTGTGAAATTGACATCAATTTTATGGTTAGTGCTATATATTATAGTAGCAGTTTCATATTATATATAGTAGGAGTAGTACTATATATTATAGTAGCACTTTTGTTGCAATAAATACGGGAGAGAAATTCAAATTAATACTTTCCCAAAAAACATGATCGGCAGAACTCAGAAGTAAATGTATTTTGTTTATAACTTCAGGTCTGAAATTGAGATTGATATCGGTACTGTATGATCAATAGACAATTGGTTACATTATTTCACAGTATTATCTAGCTAGTTCTATTTGGCACTTTCTACATTCAATGCCTTTCAAGTTTCAAACAAATTACAATTCAGTAACACTTTGTCATCACCTGGTTATTAAAAATAGTTTTCAAAATATTCCCTTTAAAAACTTTGTTAAGAATCGTTTGAAAACACAAGCGCAGAAGTAAATACAAAGCGACAATGTAAATGCAAATATAAAATATAGCAACTTTGGTCCTGGTATTATAAATGTGCGAGTACAAATGTACATTCTAGGAAGAAAAATACAGAAAAGTTTATTTACTTTTATATGGTCACAAGCATAAAATCCTGATACATCTTTTGTTGAAAATATATTGTTATTGCAAGTACCAAGGCCTAAGTGAGAATAAAAACGAAAAATCCCCGAAAGCTATAAATATATCTTACGACTGTTATTGTTGTCATTCGCATTTTTCTGTTGCGTGAAAATCCCACGAATATCCCACGCATTCCAAAGAGAATCCCACGAGTTAGTTCACGGTTTTTAGGAGCTACATTCTGATTGGCGTAAATCGAATTCCCGCTCGTTTCCGCAGACGTTATTTCCAAGCGAAGAATGAGCGTCGGAAATGAAGTCTGGGTTCGCAGACTACCAGGGACCACGGCTTGCAACTATTACACACAGAACATGCATGAACGAGCCTTTCAATATTTCATTCTTGGCCAGTATAAGATATCTCGAGCTCTTTTCTTGGTTGACTCCATACCGGCATGAACCAAATGAACACGACATAAATAGTCAGAATGTAGTGACTTGGGTACCACAACTTTTTCACCTTTATATATAACCCCGTCTCTGGCAGCTAGTTATCTCTGATGTTAAAATATGGTTTCAAATTGTTGGAAACATCACTCTCACTTTCTGGCCATCCATGACAGACACCAAATTGACCATTATAGGATCCAAAGCTGTTTCTCGTTGTAATTCAGCCATCTTGTGTGATCCAACTGGCTGCACCATCAATACTTCATAAATATCTGCAGGCAAAGTTTCACTTAACTGCGCACAAGACAACGTATTTCTGCTATAAATAACTGGGACCCTACCCTTTCTTGTAAACTAGCGACAAATCGTATCGCTGTAGCTGTAGCATCATTCATTGTAACCACATTGGAGCCGTCAAAAAAGAGGTTTCTTCATAATTATCTCCAAAGGTTTATGATCGGATTCAACTGTCACATTCTTTCCAAGAATGTAGCCATGGAACTTGTTGCACGCAAATGTTGCGGTCAGAAGGCCCCTTTTAAATTTGAGCATAACTCTGTTCTGTTTTTGTCAACGATCATGAGGCATACAGTATTGTGATCAGAAAGACCAAAAGGAGAGGTTATTTCGGGCTGGGAATATAATTCACTTAGTTGGTGAGGATTAAGTCGAGAGTTGCTTGACCTCTTGTAGGTGCTTTAACTAATTGTTTAAGTTTAAAATGTCTTTGAATAAAACTGACGTCAAACTTATTAAAATCACCTGCGACTATAATACCACAATTACGATAGTGAGACTCAGCTAATAATAGACTCTGAAATAGATGATCAGATATTGATTTGCCGTCGGGTTCCCGGGGGACGGTTTTCCACTGCTATTATTATACATGAAAACCCATGTGGAGTACGATTGAGATGGATTTTCAACCAAAGAACTTCATGTTCCCGACAGCACTGCAGATTTTCAGGGATGGTATATTTAATTTGATCTTTGAGGTATATACAAACCCCTCTGTGTTCGTGACTACTACGGTCTTTCCTTATAATGTTATAACCCGATATTTTAACGATGGAGTTGTTAATATGATCCTTTAGCCAAGTTTCAGTTATTAAGCCAATATCAATTTTCTTCCGCAAAAGAAATTCACTCACTTCGTCAAGCTTGGGTGTTTAAGGACATTACATTAGACAGCATAACTCTTGGGACAAAATGGGGGTACTGTTTGATTGTTATTGTCCTTACTGATTGGTATTTTAATTAGATTCGAAAAGTTAACTCCTTTAGTGTTGGAATTTGAATATTCAAATTTGGACCTTTTTGTACACAGAGGATAGTGAACAGGAATATTATACCTCTTCCTAGCTTAATCCAACTTTGTTTTAACTCCTCCACGCCTTCCCCTTAGTCTATAAGTGTTTTCCACCATATTCACAAGCTCCTGCTGGGAATCACGGCTCCTAATATGCTTCGAGTCCGATATATTATACAACAAAATCATGGGCCAGTGAGCCCACCCGTTGTAAACGAATATATGTCCAACAAGAACCAAGATATAAACCACCACGCATCGTAGAAATAGCATACTAGTAGTCAGATGTATCTTTGGACACCTTTAGTCAACCAAATAGAACAGAATTGCAAGTAGATAAGTAATAAAACTGATAAAAATAAAAAATTTTGTCGGAGCAACAAAATCGTGCAGCCGTGACCGGCACTTACATGCGTTGACAGTAGACTTGGTGTTGGTGTTGAACCAATCGCAGCTTCGAGGTTGTCAAAAGCTCTTTGATGGATGCTATCCCAAGTCCAAGGTACATCTGCATTCAAGAGGTGTTGCAGTGGTAAAGCAAGTTCACTCAAACATAGAACAAACATAGAAAGGTAGCATATCATACCCAGAAATCGCTGTAAATCTTTCACATTTTTCGGTGTCTGCATCTCTACGATTGCACGAACCTTTTCTGGATCTGGCTTTAATCCTTCTGCTGTTAGGTGACCAACATACCCAACTTCCTTCACCTTGAATTTGCATTTGTCCCACTTGAGCTTCAGGTTGATTTCTCGAATTCTATCTCGGACTTTCAGGAGATTTTTATCGTGCTCCGCTTCAGTAGATCCCCAAACTAGTATATCATCCACGATGACCTCACATGGATAGCCTTCCAAAAGATGATCCATCGCCTTCTGATGCTGACTTGATGCCAAAGGGTAGACGATAAAAACGGTATCTACTGTATGGAGTGTTGAGAGTTGTTTTCAGCGATGATTCGTAATCTGGAGGGGCCTGCCAAAAACCACTGGAGGCATTGAGGACTGTGAAAAAATTTGCATTTGGAATTCGTGCCGCTACCTCCTCGATCGTTCTCATTGGATAATGCTGTTGTTGAATTGGGTGATCGAGATCTTTTGGGTTGATACATAATCTGATTTCATCTTTTCCTTTCTTCTTTACAGCTACGAAAGAGGACACCCGACTTGTCGGTTCGGTGACCGGTTTTATCACGCCTATTTTGACCATTCTTTCCAGCTCCGTTTTGACATTATCTTGCATTGACACAGGGATTCTTCTTGGTGGTCGAATAGCAGGTTTGACTTCAGGATCTAGCTTCATGCAATACTCCACAGGAAGTTTACCAAGATCTGTGCCAAAAATATCCTTGTAGCATTGACCAATATGTGCCTTACTTATAACTGTATAAGTATCATGTGACTTGTGTGTTTCTAAGCTAGCAGAATGTAATACTGAATCCACATTATTTATGGTGACAATATTCAAATCAAGTGAGCTTTGTAAACCTATTAACGGTTCAAATGGCTGATCTATAACTTCAAACAATAAATTATGAGCTTTACCATTGTATTTGCAATAAAGGTATATTTGCCCTATTTTTATTTCCACTGTAGCTAATTAACTTAACTTTCTTAGTGTAAGCAATCTTATTGCAAATATTCAAGGAATCTAGACTATATTTTGGTAGCACATTGCATTTAGCACCAGTGTCTACCTTCAACTTAACTCATTCTCATCCGGTCCAAAAGTAGCAATTTCGAGTGGTGTTGTTTCAAACGCTTATATCTCTCAAACTATACATCGCACGGAAACAGAAATTGCATCGTTCGAAAGAGGAGGACTTCGGCTTTCCAACGATACCAATTTCAATTTCATCCGGAGCCTGGTTAACGATTTACTCGCATAAATTTGCATAAATTTGCATAAATTATGATATAAAAAAATGTTGCAATTATGCATAAATGTATTTAGCAGTTCAAATTTCAAATATGTCAAAAAATTTTATGAATATGACTGAAAGACACGGTTATGATCTACAAGTACCTGAAGTTTCATGCATGTAGCATAAATAGAAATATTTTTATTGAATTTTTATATAAACTAGGTAGTGGAGTAAAATTTACATTTTGTGCTCACATGAAACAAATACCTTTATCAAAGGTCCTTTTTTATTGCTGCAACATGTTATCAATACAAATTTCCAATATTTCTTACTCTCCAAAGATAGTATGGCACCAAAATAAGTCTGTGATACCCACAAAAGAACACTCAAATCATGATTAGCAAAATGTCTTTATTTCTACAATTACTACATACATTCTTAGATAATCATTACACCATTGACTTTAGTTATTAGTGGCATAACCAGCCTCAAAATTTGGTCATGCTATTCAAATTTGAAATAATCACTACTCATTTGTTTAGAAATTGATTGTTTTCACAATCTAGAACATGAAAATATTTGCAAATAGCATGACCAAGTGTTGTTGGGCTGGCATCATCATAATTAGTAGTTATAAAAAAGTAATGTTTTCCAAGGCAGTAATGTTTGCTAAAGCAGTAATGTTTGCCAAAGCACATAATTGCATTATGTGGTGAAAATATTTCCTTTATATTGTACTACAAAAGACCTAAGACTGTAACCAAACTGATATCCGATCACCACGTCATACCCAAATCTGTTGCGATGAATATCTGGACTTCTTCCTGTATAAATTTCAAAGTCGCAATATAACCATTAGGATTGTCTGCAGCAACCCACAGATTTATTCCCCACATAGTAGGTCATCTAGCTTTCATGAACTGCCTAACCCCCAACCTATTTCTTGATTTGACAGTGTGTTTGTCTTCAACAACAATATTCTGTGACGGCTGGTACAGTTGTTGATGCAGTTTATTGCTGTAGTCTTTAGTACAGGATCTACCATATTCACAAACGCCATAAGCGCTTTGTACCTAACCCGAGAAATTATGTCTATTGCCCACAGACCATGATATAAGGTTTTTACACTCCAATAATTTTCAATCTCACTGTCGACCTTTAGCAAACCCGCATATTATACTAAAAGGCAATCAACCTCTCAAGGTTGGTGGACTGCAAGACCCTTTTTTATTAGTATATGGGGATAACTTTTGAGTTATTTGTATGTGGGCATATGTATTGGTATGGCCAGGAAACTACCTCCTGAAGCATTCCCTTAGTAAAAAAGAGTCGAATGAACTCAAGCTCACAGTTCATTGAGCCGAATGAACTCAACCTCACAGTTGATCGAAATGGATCCCGGACATGTCAGTGAGGAGCAAAATCTGGGAGAACATTCCTGGTGTCAGGATCATCATATCCGTCATGTACTATGGGGCCTAGTGGGGATGCTAGACAGGGAGCTTTCGAAACCTTAGGTCCTAATGGCTGGGTTTCCCTCTACCTCTACTCATCCCCCTACCTTCCCTCTGGGTTGGTGAGTGGGGTTCTCATGACTCATCAGAACTCTACTTCCCTGAGGCTATGAAACAGGAACAGCAGATAGGAACAGGATCAATATATTCATCAGTGCGAATAAAAACTTTTATAGACATGGTGCCATATAAAATTATAAAAAGAGCCAACTAGTAAGATATAAGTATGAATACTTGGCTATTATGTATGTAACAAACAACCAAACATGTACTCAAGGCTCATTTTACTTCGCCTAGGAATCAGAGATTTTTATGCCTAAAACACCATAAATTTTCGTCAACAATATAAATAAATACCATTTATATTTGTCAATTTCAGTATGAAACGATTATTTCAACACAAAAAAGCGATATGAGGACATACTTGGTGGTACTAGTGAAGCTATACTAAATACAAATAAATTTACAATGCCATGGCAACGGCAAAACATTGAAATTGTCTAGAAATGATACAAATACTTGCCTTGAAACTCCAGACACGACTCCCAATGCCAGGTTGAGATACTTGTCTTCATACGAAGACATTCCATCATTACTAGCACTATCAGTTTGCAAATAAAGCCAAAAACGTCTTCAGAATGCGATTCAAACAAAACTACAACACAATACATTTCAACGCTCGTGCGTTCCCGTGCGCGATAATCAGGAAAATTGCTCTAAAAGATTTGTTTTTCTGCCTAAGCCAATCAAAATCCGTATCTAGGGTAAACAAACACTCCGGAAGTGATTCCTGCAGTCTTTTACCAGGAAACTGTAATAGGCCGTGGGCTGTAATGTGAAAAATGGCTTTAAAAAACAGTTTCGTGACCCCCATCTAGGAAATACCTCTTCTATCTTTTTATATGTAGATATACATGTAATTGATTACCAAAAAAAGTTCCCAAGAGAAATACCTGCCCATTCTCGAGAAATCTTTATCCAAAGTCTTCGAAATCGAAGCTTAATATTTTGGCCGCCATCTTGAATAATGGAATTCTGAGTGATGGTATTTAGCGAAATTTACTCTCTCCAGTCTTTTTCCACACGGTTCCGCCCGATATAAGGGAAAATTCGGGCTGGATGCAGGCTAGCTGCTTTTCCCGCGAAAATTTATAATTTAAAAAACACAAAAAAATGTCGGCACTGAACAAGAAAAACAACAATGAATGTTTGATTCATTTTGCCAGAACAAAGGATAGTTTGTGTGCATTTTCTAAAAAAAGGTTTGAAACCTTTCTGTGTCGTCGTGAGGAATGGCTTCAGTTTGAAGAAGCTGCTTCGGTAATAGCGAGAAATTCGCTTCAAGTCTGCCGTCAAGACGAAAGCTCTGAAAATTGTGAGCAATATTTTTTTCATCAAAAATGTTATAATTCATTCACGGACATTTCGAAAATTAAAAGAGCTCGACAACAACAAAAGGTAGTCAATTATGATGCGGAGAAAGAAAAATCCAGCGAAGAAGTCGAGGAACCTCAATCGCCAAAACCAAAACGACGGAGTCGAGTGTCAGGACAACAAGGTTCAAACAGAAATGTACTTCCAGATGTCTGCATTATTTGTAAAAGGAAAACATCTTATATCAGGGACAAGGTAAGTTTCTCGCCACTTTTTACTGGTTTTTTTTTCAGTTTATAGTACTAGGCCTATCTAGCTAGGCTTTCTAGCGTGACTGTCCATCATAAATATTTGTTTTGCGCAAATGTTATTAGAAATCCAGGAAAACTACCCGAGACAAAATGCACCAAGCTGAAACAATCGACTGTGGCTGTCTTCGGGAAGCTGCTGAAAGGAAGAAAGACGAAGCAATTTTGATTCACATTCGTGGGAAAGATTGTGTGGCAATAGAAGTTAAATATCATAATTGGTAATTTTAAAATATGAAGTACAAGGCTAATTAACACTTGTGTAGTGACCTGTGGTGATAAAACTGCGTATTAAAATTAATTTAAAGTAACAGCAGGTCGATGTGAAAGAAAACGTATTAATTAAAAAAAATACATGTATATTACATATATTCCATAAAGTTAATTTTCTATTAGGATGTGTATGCGATATATGTTACAAACTCATTAATTCTGTTATTCACTTCCTATTTACTATTTTAGATGTTATCATACTTACACTAAATTCCTGTCGAATGATGCACGAGCTAAAGCTGAAAATGTACATGAGCGATCTTACAACCTGTTTTGCAAAGAAGTAATCGAGGATAAAATATTGGGGAAACACAAGGTTTACTACTTAACTAAGATATGTGACAAATTTCTGTCTTATCTGTCGAAGGAACAAGCAAGTGAATCAATCTATCGTACATCCAAACTGAAAATTAAGTTGCAACGAGACTATCCACAGTTAGTATTTTTCTCGCTCAGTCGACAAAACAAAAGTGAGCTTGTTTACTGTGAATATATCGAGACCGGTGAGGTGCTAGAGAAAATGAAATTTGAAAGTGTAAATTGTGAGTCGGCATCAGATTTGGAACCTGACGACGAAGAAATGACTGGAGAGATGCCTCAAGAGGTTTCGCAAAGAAATAATGAAATCGCAAAGTTGTACGAGATAGCTATACTATTGCGATCTTGTATACAAGAAACTGCAACATTCCCAAGAGTTTGGCCACCAACCTCGGTAGACATTTCCAATGATGCAGCGAAAGATATCACTCCAATTGTTCTATTTAATTTTATCGCTTGGGTCATGAATAAATCAGACGAACCTACTCTCGATAGTTTTGTACGGTTGCAAAAGAGTGAAAAGAGAAAAGTACTTTGGTTGCACAAGATATGATTTATATTACCCATAACGGACGGAAGCCTACACCAAAATCTGTTGCACTCAGCATGGCTGTTCGACAAATATCTGGTTGTTCGAGCATCATAGATATCTTGAACGGGTTTGGACATTGTGCATCCTATTCTAGTACGTTGCGACATGACACGGCGCTGGCAAAGATGAATATAAAGACGGGGAACTCTGTGCCCAAAGAAATTTTGCCAAATCGACACACCATCTTAGTCTGGGATAACGATGATTTTGGAGAAGAAGCAAAGGTCTCTACACACATCACAAATGGAATAGCAATACAGGAAGAAAGAGAAGACGATGTCATTCCCAACGTGAATGTTCCAAAAAGTCAAGCGAAATCTCTACCTGCGCCTCACTCCAAAATTCTGCCCTACGTCATTGGCAAAAAGAAGTCTCCTAACCTGAAATCCATCTGCAGCTCGTCCGACCTAGAAGAAAAAGTATACGTCGCCGTGCAACAGTTTGCTGAAAAATGCGATTTTGCGTACTCTCTTATCAAAATGCATTATGGCGGTTGCTTACCAGATTGGACGGGGTTCAACACATTGTTAGCTGAAGACAAAATCCCACATGTTTCAAAGATTGGTTATTTGCCAGTTATTGATGCCTCGCCAACAGAGTACTCTACCGTGCATACCGTTTTGAGTAAGAGTAAAGATATCGCGTCACAGTTAGGGATGGATTACATGGTGTTAGTATTTGACGAGGCAATCTACTCCAAAGCACAGCATATCAGATGGAAGAACCCAGAGTTTATGGAGAAATTTATAATTCGTATGGGGGATTTCCACGCAATAATGTCATTTTGTGGTGCAATTGGCAAGCTTTTCAGAGATGCAGGTCTTCAGGTAAATAATTTTTGTTATGATAGAACAAAAAAAGGATATATTATAATTTTTTTTACTTTTCGTGCAAAAAATTGACAGTGTGCGTTTCCCTATTACACCAGAAAGACACTAGAAAAGCATACATCCAATGCTTCAAGGCGGTCTGTCAGCGTTTCAGACATTTTTGTATAGAGAATGTGTCACCAAATGGTACACTCCCAAATTAATCTATACTTGTTTGTTTAGGACATATTGATTGAATCGGGCGTTGTTGGTACATGATCTGTAAACGGAGTGATGAGCGGCAAGTTTTACAACGGAAGCACCCGATGTCACAAAATAATGCATGAGGCATTGGAAAGAATTAGATTCCAGGTGTTCATGGATTCGCTGTCTCCAGAGGAACGCAAAGATATAGAAGATCAAATATCAATACTGAAAGATTCGTTTCCAGGTCATGACTTCGAAAATCTGCTTGAAAGACCAGCTTTTCATGATATCATGACGCAGTATGGCGTGTTCATTGAAGCACAAAAGCAAACATGTCCAACGTTCTCACTCTGGAGTTCTTACATTGATATTTCAGGTACACAACTATCACAGGGACTCTGCATAACGTAGTAAATACATACACAGTTATAATTATCTAAACTAGTTCCCACCTGTCAGTGCAAAGAATCACTAGAGCTTCAGTATACGAGGTATATTATCTATGCTACTTGAGTTGTTAGTCAGACTTTTATTTTTTGCAAAAGTTTGATGATGAAGTTTATCCGCGCAACAAGAGAAAGTGATTGGTTCCTTCATTTGTCAACACTGAGATCGATGCTTCCATGGTTTTTTGTCGCTGATCGAGTTAACTACTCAAGATATGCATCAGTCTACTGGCTTGAGATGAATGCTTTGGTAGAAACACACCCAAGTAAGAAAGAATTATAATGAAGTGTTAATCCTAGTTTCCATTCGGCCAAATACAACCATATATTATGCATTTTGTAGTCGGACTGAGTTCTACAATTTGATCTAATAGGGTATTTTTATGTACTGTTAATCCCATATCTGGTGTCCAAGTACTAAACAAAACAAACAAAAAAAAAATTCATTATTCGCTCTGTTGAACGTCGGAAGTTTGAAGTAAGACACCAAGATGGCTGCTGTGACGTCAAATGAAAACACCCTATGTTGTGTGTTGTGCATTTATTCTTGATTAGGTGCAGCTGAAAACCTGAAACGACATTGGACAGTTCAGAGACAACAGCGGTATGGTTTCTCTTCCATCACTTGTGACCAAGCCATAGAGCAGACAGCGAACAGAGATTCCAAAACAAAAGGAGGATTGATTGGCTTCACCCTTAACAAAGGAGCTGTTAATAGGTGGATACTTTCCCAGTCAGAACGGTCCGCAATCACAGGGCAGTGTCAAATAATGGCTGGTGCTGTTGATAATGAAAGGTATAAAGCATTTAAATTAAGAAAAACTAAATGTTTTTTAAAAGTGCATTTCAGTGCAATCGGATGTTCAGAATTTTTTGTCTGGTAAATGTTCTTCATTGTTTTTTAATTATTTTGTTCCTTAATTTAACGATGCTTTTTTTTTAATGGTTCTCGTAGGCAACGTAAGAACTTAGATGAAACTCACAAACAAAATTATGAAAAAGAAGTCAAAAGCGTCATCAGCACGATTGAAAGCATGGTGAACCCATTTGAGAAGGAACAGACAAACCTCATTCATCTCGCGAGCGGTGTCATAGCGCCATGTGCCGTTCAACATGATCTACTTTGTGCAAAGTCTCTTGGAGAAAAAAGCTTCATACAATTTGTTGGAGAAAACCTCCTTAGTGATACACCAGATCTATTTGATACAATAAAGAAGACAAAACTTCAGACCTTTTCTTCTTCTCAAAAACCAACAAAGACAGCCACTTCGAAAGGTAAAGAAGTTTCTTTGAAAAGCTCGAGAAACCTTTGCGCTCGTCTGTTGCTTCTTGCGAAGGGCAGAGATGTGGACATGAAAATTGTCTTAAGCTATTCGCTCGGTCCGTATCCTTTGAGTCTTGCTACTGTAGATGGTAACCCAACGAAAACTGTAAAGGCAAATTTGATGCACATGCTGGAAGAAATGTCACCGGAATGCGTAAATCATTTTCTTCCCCGCAACAGTGCTATAATGGTGGATGCAATGGCGTTACTACAAAGTCTGACAAGAATTCCCAAGACTTTTGGTGAACTAGCTGCTCACGTTTTATCACGGTTGTTGTCCCTTGCGGGGTTTCACAAAGCTTCACGGATAGACTTTGTTGCAGACCGTTACCCAGATCATAGCATTAAGGCTAACGAGAGAAGTAGAAGAGCTGCCCAAGGAAGCACTCTGGTTAATATATATGGAAAGAGTCAGCCAACGCCTACGCAATGGAAGAAGTATCTCAACAGTGGTAAAAACAAAGAAGCTATCATCTCTTTTCTGATCGACTGTTGGAAAGACTTAAAGTCAGATGATTTGACGGGATTGATTTTGTACGCTACACGGGGAGATAAGTGCTTCAAAATTTCTCCCACAAGTCAATCTACAATTGTTGAGACAATAGAAGTCGTAGAGCTAGAGTGTGATCACGAAGAAGGATATACCCGTTTGCTGCTTCATGCAAAACACGCATCCGACAATGATTTTTCCGTTGTGGCTATCAAAAGTCCAGATACTGATGTGTTTCTTCTTATGGTCGCGATGAAACAGAATTTCAGTGCCGATCTACACTTCATCACCGGAAATCAGAATCAATCAAGGATCATTTCAGTGAACGAAGTGTGCGACAAAGTAGGCAGCGAGACATGTAACTTGATTGTTGGGTTCCATGCGTTCACAGGTTGCGACTCTGTCAGTTCCTTCTATGGTAAAGGAAAAAGAAAAGCCTGGAAAGTTTTGTCTGAAAATCCCAAAGCCAAAGATGCGTTCAGAATACTTGGAGATGAAGTTGACCCTACCGAGGATTTGTATGAACTATTGGTGGAATTTGTCTGCGCTTTGTATGGCCATAAAGATATGACGTGTGTAAACGAAGTGCGGTACTCTATGTTTCGGCTGGGGAGCTTTTCTGATGAATATCTGCCACCAACACGAGACTGCCTAAAGAAGCACGTCCAACGAGCCAATTACCAAGCTTTTATCTGGAAACGATGTTTACTTGCTTTGATTGTGACACCAAGTCCAGTGGGAAGAGGTTGGGAATTGAAAGATGAAGAATTAACAATTCATTGGATGACCAGCAATGTGGCCCCAGATCAACTATTGGAGTTTGTAAATTGTGGATGTAAGAAAGGGTGCAATACACAAAGGTGTTCTTGTTTAAAAGCAGGACTACGGTGCACATAACTGTGTAAATGCCAGAACTGCGTAAATACAGTACCTGATAATAATTCAGACGACGAAGAATACTTGTACGACGATTTCACCGAATACTTAGCATCGGACGTGGAAAGTGAGGACGTTTAATTTTTTCCATTGAAAAGATACACAATAGGATTTCCCGAACCTTGTGCAAAGATAAGTAAAGGATTCAGGATTTTCGTGTTATCTTACCTTTTCGTGTTACCATGATACCATCTGTTGCCGGGCTGTTGTATAAACGGTATGAAAAATTCCCATATATGCGCTCTATCCCGCCTATGCGCCAGCCTCGTACCCAGGGCAAATAACTAAAAATAGGCACAGTACAGTGTTTTTATATAGATCAGTGGCTAAGCTTAGCGAGCGCGCGGGGATGCGCGCTATGCGCACCATTCCGCCTAAGCGCAGTCTAAGCGGGATGAAAACATCCCATCCCGCCTAAGAGGGATCATACAACTAGGCCCTCAGAAGGCTAGAAATTGTATTACCACCGCCATATATTTAATGAATGTGCGATCGAATGCATCAGTTGACTAGTCCTGTTATATCTTCCTCTGAGACTGGTTTATCGGCATTTTTTTTATATAAACTGACAAGCAATTAATAAAAAATTTCCATTCTTCAACAGAAAAATACCGCAGCAACATATTTTCTGTTTATTTTTGAAAATTTTAAGTTTCACTTGCTCTTTAATGCGGATCTTATATCTCATATAAAGACAATCTCGTTCCCCGAGCCTGCGATCCTCGGGAAGGAATCGAAGGCTCTGGGATAATCCGTTACCGGAAGCCAAGAATCCTGGCTAGATTGAACTACGCATTCCATTTCAATGGCCAATCAGATTCCTCCCTGAAACGGATTATCCCAGAGCCTCGCGTTCCTTCCCGAGGATCGCAGGCTCGGGGAACGAGATTGATATAAAGATATTAAGGAAGTCAGCTAGCCTGCATCCAGCCCGAATTTCCCCTAATTTCGGGCTGAACCGAGTAGAAAGAGACTGGAGAGAGTAAATTTCACTAAATACCATCACTCAGAATTCGATTATTCAAAATGGCGGCCAAAATATCAAGCTTCGATTTCGAAGACTTTGGATAAAGATTTCTCGAGAATGGGCAGGTATTTTTCTTGGTAACTTTTTTTGTACAGATACATAGTAGTAAGGATTCTTATTATGTAAAAATTTTCTATTTCTCAGAGGGGGGTCACGAAACGATACAATTTGACCACATAGCCCACGGCCTATTAGTAAAGTTCCCTTGGGCGCCGCTCGATTCGGGTCATTTTGTAAAATTCTACTAAATGAATTTTACTAAATGACCCTCATCGAGCGGCGCCCAAGGGAATTTTACTAAACGACCCTCATCGGGCGGGACGTTTTAATAGCTAATTCGCCTCTTTCTATGCTATTACTTATAATAAAACAATGACATTTTGAGAATCACGCGAAAATCCCGCGAATGCTTTAATTCCTCGTGCAGGATTGCCTGATCCTGCACGGCTGTTGACCAATCAAATTGCGTGTTTCACTGTACCTATTATGTAACTTCATCTTCTCGTATGCGACGTAGAACTGTCCGTAGTGTTCAACATGTTCGTCGAACGTTCTACTAAACACAATCGCATCATCTAAGTAAGGAATGGCAATTTTATCACGCAATTCTCATAAGCACTGTTCCGTGAAAGCTAGCTGGGGCGTTCATAACCCCCAGGACGTTACAAATGTTGCCAACGGTCGGCTGGAGTTTTTCACGAATCCCTGGTGGTAATCCTTACCCTGATCTAATACACTAAACCATTCATTAACGCCTAAACTATCGACCCGTGGTATAGGATATCGGTCTGGGGAACTGTTCTACGATTAAGCTTACTATAATCGACACAAAGTCGCAATGTTCCATCCTTTTTGCGAATACAAACCACTGGAGATGAATATGCTGATCTCGACTCCCTATAATAAACTGTTTATTTAACAGGTCTTTTACATACTGTTTTACCTCGGGATAGAGAGGTCTTGGCGATGACACATAGTTCTTTTGCACCGACTCGTTCGTTGTCAAATTAATTTCCAGTTCCAGATCTTTGATACACCCAACATCGTCATCATTTTTTTTTGCAAAAGAGTGGCAGTCTCCCTTTAACATGGTGGTTTTCTGTTAATCCACTAAGGTCAACCTTGGGCAAAAACTGGTGATCACTTGTGTTCTCTCCATCTCTAGTTCCGTTATGTGTTGCTATCACTTGCAATTGTGTCTCTGTCACAGTTTTATTTGTTTTTTTGCTCAAGTTTCTGCCAACTTCACTTCTACCGGTGTGATCGATGTGACCAACTGAAGTCTTCCCAGTATTGTGTGTTTTCGCAGGACAATGTCATGATTGGTTGTATTAGTCACATCCATCTTTGCATAGGACATTAAAACTTGTGTCACTGTGGTGACAGTTTCATGCACGGTTAAATCATCTGGCCAAGGGGCTAATTCGTCCGATTCGAACAATACTGGCGTGGTTTCTCCTACTGGTCCAGTTTTCCTTCGACAGTTAACATGGATTGTTCTATTTGCTGAAATAGTAATGTCCGTCTTTGAGCTTTTAACAGTGTATAATGTATCTGCCTTCGCTGCTGGTATCAGTTTTATCAACTCGAGTAATACTTCCTCATCCAAATCATGAAAACTGGCTTGTACTGTAAAAATATGTGTTGATTGATTATCTGACGTATTGATTGGCTTAATTAGTTCTTCTATAACATTATTTTCAAGGATAGGGTAGTCAAAACTGTCATCCGTAACTGAGAAGGGCGCCAGAATAGATGGCCCTTCCTTGTTTAATTCATGAGATCAATCGCTCTTCTATCTCAGTCCAACCACTCTATGCAGTTTTTGTCCCATTACCTGCTGTCAAATAGTTTTGTCACCGTCAATTAGCTGAAATATTCCTAAAGACAAACTAGATACGTGCGCGCCTGCATCCCACAATAGACTAGACGCGCCTGCATCCCACAATAGAATGTTGACTCAATGGCATTTAGAGAACATCTCACAGACACAGTACAGCGTCTTCCAACAAGCTTAGCAATCTTCGCGTGTTCACTTGGGATAAATTACTTGAAAATGACTTGTTATTGTTGCAGTGTGGTCTGTTGTGGCTTGTCCATCTCAGGTCCCCCGGAGTTTTACAACTGTCCTTGTGCTTACCCCAGTGCCTTTTCTGGCAATGTTTTGAACAATAAAGTACACATTTGCGTTGTGCACACAGTACAATCTCATTTGATCATCGTCCTTGTCATAACAACATCTTTGGGAGATTAAAGCATTTTTGCCACGGTTCTGTCGACATCCAACTGTTTAGTGATTGTCACTTCCACAAATGAGAACATCTATCATTTCCGCTTACCTGGTACTGCCGAACATTTTGGAGGAGTATTCCTTCTCTGCTTTCTAGTGTCTATCGAGGTTTGCGGGTTTGGTAATCGAGCTTGTTCCGTTCGTGGTTAATATCCTCCAACTGGCTCTTATTAAACTTGTACAACCTCTACCTTCACAGCTACAAGAGTCTTAAGAATTCTGTCTTGAGACTTGTCATCCACTTTCTATGCTACTACTTTCTATGCTACCCCAGTCTGGGCAGATCACTCGCTCATTCTCGGTCGATACAGCACTATTCAGTTGCAAGATCAGATATGTTTGGATATTCAAGGTAAATAAATCTCTAACTCTTGCTCTTGTAGGTCAGTCTCAATATTACGTAGAAAAAGCTGTTGAATATGGTCGGTTTCATAAACCAAAGTGTCCTCACTTTGATCTTGGGTACTTGAGAACATGATTTTCTCCCGCAAATCCAGAGCACGCATAACTCCATAAGGAATTCTTGTGGTGTTTCGGTGGGTCCTTGACAAATCGATGCAAGACTTTGGTACGGCTCAGGTACGGCGCTTGGCAGAGCGTTGCTTCCATATTCAGTTGTAATTCTTCAGCCATATTCGCCGACAATACACCAGAGTTGAAATTTCGAGATACAAAAATTCAGAATTTAGCAGGGCGGAAAAACAAACCTTTTCCTTGTATTCACAGATTTTTATATAAATAATTGTCTCGGTGGGACCTCCATTTGGCACTCGCTCACCGAATTCGCTAGTATTTAATTCATGATACAAATTATACAATAAAACAAGGAAATAACTATTTATTTGAATTTTACGTGTTTTATAAATCGCCATCTTGTATTTCTTGTTACCATAGTAACTGTCACTCAATTACATGACGTAATCGTTATGTCTTCGGACTATTTGGTAAGACTTACATAAAGTATCTGAACCTATTTAATGGGCATCCTACATCAACGTACATGAAACAACAACTAAATATATTTTCCGAATGCTATAACACTAGCCTCTAGATATCTAAAACGAATGTACTTAATTATCAATCTAAAAAGTTTCAAAGATGTCCAACATTGTGTCCAAGGAGTTGACATACGGTGTCCTTAGCTGAGTCAAGAGCACCCACGATCCAAGTGTGGTAGACACTAAGATGCTCTCCAGTGAAGTAGATTTGACGTTGAGGTTGCTTCATAACAGGATACAGGTACGAGAATTGACTGGGATAAAACGTAGCGTCACCCAACGCCCACTGCACTGCCCATTCTACTGGAAATGCCTCTTTCAAGTAATTTTCATTACCTGGACTTCCTCCAGCATACTGATCATAGATATCAACTTCAGGGTACAGCTCCTGGAGATTACTCAACGCCAAATTAACCTTTTCCAAATTTGACTTCGGAAGCCAGTGATTTGAATCCGTCATCCAGCTGTACAGTAGTAGCACTCCCATGCCTTTGTCACCAATTCCATACGATGGATAAACAACCCAGCGACATGGAAGATCTGATATTGACTGCCCTCCATTGGAAGGTCTCAAATTCTCACGTTCCCAAAACCGAGATTTAAAGCGCAACCCTATCTTGTAAAGGGGCTGAAAATGGATTGATCGCAGGCCATGTTCGAGTGCAACTGGCCAGGTTGGCTTATTTCGGATCATACGAACAGAACTTGGTGGGAGAGCAAGAACAACAGCATCAAAATTTTCGTATTTAACTCCAAGATCTGATACAGAATAACCAACCTCGACACGATCGTTAGCGATATATCTCAGGGATTCAATAGGCGTGTTGTAAATTATGCTTTTCTCCCCAATAACCATTGTCATTGCTTCAGGAAGGCGACACATTCCATCGTCGATTGTTTGCCACTCGCTTACTACTTGACCTGTAAAGTCGGAATTCAGGATAACTTGATCAACCAGGCCAAGGTAAAATTCGTTTGTCTGTGAAGTCATGACTTCCACGTAATTGATTTTTTCGGGAGTCCATCCAAGTTCTGTGGACAGATAAAAATGCAATGTCTTACAATCATACTTTTTCAACGCACTGGGAAAGTCATCGAGTAGTTCCTTTGCTATGGGGTTGATAGCATCTTGCAACAGTTTCCCTGCTTCTTCATTGGCACCAGCTGCAGTTGGAAAGCCTAGCTCATCAAGATGGTGATTTGCATAGTCAACGGTCATGATATTTTCATCTTTCTGTTTCGTATTATTCACGTAAACCCTGTTCCCCGATGTATAGGAATAGTTGTATGGTATAAGGTTAATTGGAAAATGGGGCAATGTGTTATTCAGGTAACGTATTAGGTCGAAAACGGGCTTCTGCCAGTCGACTTGGGGCAGTCGCATCGCCCCTGCTTCAAAATATTGATTCTTTTTGTCCTCAAACCTGTGCGTGTAAACACGGCCACCAACTCGATCGGTAGCCTCAAAAATTTTCACATCGATTCCTTGTTTTTGAAGAAGTAAGGCGGAATACAGACCCGACATTCCTGCACCAACAATGGCCACTTTATTTAAATCAGGACGTCGAACTGGGGCATCTGACGGTTGTGGAGTTTTTCCAGTGAGGTACTGTTGATACCGCTCAGCTAAATCTTGGGTTATGGACTTTTTTGGAAATTCATTCGTCATTGATTCATTCGTCATGGTATTGTCGAGATCTCGATCTTGTGTCTGTTTGTCAGGATTTCGAATTTCCGTGGAAATAATTAAGCATCAGGTACCTTAATAATTTTGAGGGGGGTGGTCGAGAAAGTTTTTCTATTGCGCGCATGTTTTCTTCCATGTGCTCGAGGAGTCAAGGTTTTTTATATGGATGCAAACTCGGATGCAAAGATTGAAAATATTCAGAAAAAGCAGGTAAGTATGGCTTTATTTCTTTCTGCTAATATACATCAAGGCTATGACCTGTGTAGTGCCCAATCTAGAGGCAAACAGTGTGCTTTCATGAGGTTATCGGCAATTTTAACAGCCGAAAGTATGCCACTGATCAATTGGTCAAAAACAACATTTAATAATGTCTTATTACAAGGAGACAAAATGTACTTAAGAGCTCTTAATAATGGCTTAATTGTCTTAGAACCAAGTATTGAGTTCTTGTCTGTAGATAACTTACCAAAAGTTGTCGGTGTTTCAAGTTGTAGGAACATGTTTTCGTATGAGATTGATCTGATGTCACAAACAAGTAGTGCACAAAACATTACTCTGCCCATTGTGGTGGAAAGTAACATTGATCTACCCATTGTGGTAGAGCCCATTGAGGCACAAAAGAAAAGCAGTCTGCCCATTGTGGTAGAGCCCATTGAGGCACAAAATAACATTGATCTGCCCATTGTGGCAGACCCATTGAGGCACAAAATAACATTGATCTGCCCATTGTGGTAGAGCCCATTGAGGCACAAAACAAAAACAATCTGCCCATTGTGGTAGAGCCCATTGAGGCACATAAGAAAAGCAATCTGCCCATTGTGGTAGAGCCCATTGAGGCACAAAATAACATTGATCTGCCCATTGTGGTAGAGCCCATTGAGGCACGAAATATTCATTTGCCCATTGTGGTAGAGCCCATTGAGGCACAAAAGAAAAGCAATCTGCCCTTTGTGGTAGAGCCCATTGAGGCACAAAATAACATTGATCTGCCCAATGTGGTGGAAAGTAACATTGATCTGCTTATTGTGCCTGAGGCAGTTGACGCGGAGAACAACTCTGTGGTGACTAATGAGACAAACAATGAAAATCAAATTTGGGTTATCAGTTATGGAAAAGAGCTTCAAGGTCTTGTTATAACTGACCGAGAGATTGAATCTCATTATTATGACATTCACACAGCACTTTTGAATGCATTTTTGAATAACAGTTATGCTATCTTGATATTAGAAGGCTATATGATGGCCTTAATAAAGCAAGCTGATGTTCTCTATTTATTTGACTCACATGCCAGAGATTTCAGTGACATGCCTGATCCAAACGGCACTGCTGTTGTTATGAAATTTACTGATATTCTAGAGTTAGAACAATATTTGTATATCCTTTCAATTAAATTACATACCAATTCATTTGAAATTGCACCTGTGCAATTAAATAAATGTAATGCTTCAGAGCAAAAAGTAAGTGTGTGAAAGATCATGAATACCATAAAAAGAGGCTTTTAGTAGAATCCGAAGGTGATAAAAAAGCTAGACTTAAAAAAGGTAGTGAGTATAAAAAAAGAAACTATTCAGAGGAAACTGATGAGAGGAAAATTAGACTTCAAAAAGAAAGTGAGTCTGCAAAACGGAAACGCTCAGGAGAACCTGACAGTGAGAGACAAATCAGACTTGAAAAAGTAAGTGAGTCTATAAACCGAAAGCGGTCTAAAGAAACTGACAGTGAGAGACAAATAAGACTTGAAAAAGATAGACTTTATAAAAAAACAAAAGCGGGCAAGAAAAGTGTCACAACCTCAACGTGAAATAAATCAAGAGGATTATTTAAATATGTTTGACGACACCAATAATGGTGGTATTGAAGAGCAATGTTGGGCTAAGGCTAACATTAATAAGTTTAATAAGTCTGTGCAATACATTGTCAGTCAGTGTACAGAATGTCAGGAGGCATGGCCCTTGAAATATAAACCAAGGACACCTTACATATGTTCTCGATGTTCCAGAGATAAAAAATCTCCTAAAAAGTTTTCTTGTGAAAATTCAATGATACCTTCATGTGTTCCACATGAATTGCTGAATTTAACTTAGATTGAGGAAATGATAATTGCTCGTGCTTTGCCTATCATGAGAGTTTATATTAAACCTGGTGGTCAACGAGGTTATTCGGGGCATTGTATTAACCTGCCACAAAATGTCAAAGAACTTGCAATGTCTTTGCCAAGATATCCTAAAGATTTAGCTGTGATTATTGTCAAGGCTAAAGGTAGAGAAAACACATTCAAAGATGTGACCGTGCGAAAGCAAAAAGTGCACAATGCTTTAGTTTGGCTTATCAATAATAATCCTCATTATTCTGAGTTATTAATTAATGAAGATGCATTAAATTCCTTACCTGAAGATGGTGTACCACCAGGTCTTATGACTGTTGAGACTGATGATGATATAGTCTCAGATGACAATTGTTCTCCTGATGTAGGCCCTCCTACTGATAATCCATCAGAAGATATTGTTTACAATGACTCAACTGAAATGAGTAGTTTTTTACCTGTTGGTGAACAACAACAGCAGGAAATTGAAGCTGTTAGAAACCAGCTGTCTGAAAATGAGCCAATGCCATGGCCCTCAGTTGAAAATGAGCCTTTAAATGAGTATCAGATATCGCATCTGGCCACAATGGCTTTCCCAACATTGTTTCCGGATGGGAAAGGTGATCCTACTAATCAAGGACTTCTGAGAGATGTCCCTCTTCACGAACGAATAAAACATCTTCTAAAATTTGCTGAAATTATTGATGGTAAATGGGTATACCGTTTTGCTAACCACCCCAGATTTTCTTATTGGGCATTTAATATGATTCAAAGAAAACGAATTTTACAACAAAGTGGAATATTCCTCAAACAGAACCCAGGTGAAGCTCATCTCACAATTGACGAACTGCGTGAAATGGCTGCCAGTAACAATACTAATGTATTTATGTCTAAAGTGTCGAGATATGTTGGCAATATTGCAGGTACTAATGCTTATTGGAATAGAGTAAGAGAGGAACTCAAAGCTATCATAACTAGTGTTGGAGCACCAACATTATTTTTCACTTTCTCCTCTGCAGATATGCATTGGCCTGAGTTACATGCTTTATTTAAAACTGATACTGACAATGAGTTAGGTAACTCTACCAGTGATGTAAGACGACAAAATGTGATCAACAATCCCCATGTTGTAGATTGGTTTTTCACCCAAAGATTAGAAAGCTTTGTAAAACACTGGCTTTATGATACACTTGGTGCAAAATGGCACTGGTTTCGATATGAATATCAAGGTAGAGGTAGTATCCATTGTCATGGTACTGCTAAACTAAATAATGACCCAGGTTTGTGTCAACTTACTCAAACTGCTTTGAAAGGTTTCTTAGCTCAAAAATTTAAAGATGAAAATGATTGTTCTGACACAACTGAACTAGAACAGGGTATTGAAGCTGGTCAGAAACCGGCTGACACAGTATGTCAGTATGTTGATTGGTTATTATCTGATCAACTGTCAATCCTAATCCACCAGATAAGGACATGTGGATAAGAC